TTATAATGGTTTGAATGATCATATTCGAACTACTATTGATGGAGTCGCTGAAAGAGCTCTTATGGCTAAGTCTATTGATAACGCTTACGATCTGTTGGAAGAAATGACATCTAATAATTATCAATGGCTGTTTAAGAGAGCAATGCCTAAAAGAGTAATTGGTGTTTATGAGTTAGATGTTATCAATGCATTAACTACACAGTATCGACATTAACTAAGAAGTAGAAAGGCATACTAGTGATCACTGTCTGGTTAGTTCTAAATCAATTTAGTTCATTGGGAATTTCAATAAGCAATAGAACAACCCATATTCCAAAATCTATAACCCATGATGGAGCATTCATTCGAATGTTTCTTGAAGCAATAATTAGGGATCTTCATTAGCTTTGAATTTAAATTTTCTTCATGGATTTCCACTTCAAGTTAAAGCTCTTATGCTTGAAATAAAGCCATCTACGAAAAAGTTACTTATGCAATTAATGGCAAAAAATGATGCCATCATTCAAAGTCAAGCGGATTCAATTCGAAATCTTGAGACATAAGTAGATTAGCTTGCCAATGCCATTAATAATAAGCCTCAAGGGATTTTACCTAGTGATACTGAGCCAATCCTAAGAGAGAAGGTAAGGATCATTGCAATGCAATCACCTTTAGGAGCGAAAAAGAGTTAGAAAATAGTAGCAAGCAAGCTAAAGCTCACCATAAGCTTGTTGAGAATGAGATAAAGGTTGAGAATGCTGACAAGCTAGTTCAAGCGAAGAATACAAAGGCAAACCCACCACCACCATATTTTTCTTAGCACTTTCAGAAACAAAAGATTGAGCATCAATTCCAGAAGTTCATGGAAGTATTTAAGAAACTTAACATCAACAGTCCTTTTACGGAAGCCTTGGAAAGCATACCAAGCTATGTGAAATTTTTGAAAGATATTTAGACTAAGAAGATTAAATTAGAAGATTATGAGACAATTGCACTTACTGAAAAATGCACTGTTATAATCTAGAATAAGATGCCACCAAAGCTTAAGGATCTAAGGAGTTTTTTTATTCCTTGCACTTAAAATTTCTAAAGCTTTGTATGATTTGGGTGCTAGTGTTTCAATAATGCCTTTGTCTACTTCCAGGAAACTTGGATTTAAGGAGATTCAACCTATTACAATTACCTTGCAGTTAACAGACAAACCAATTAGGTATCCTGTTGGGATTATAGAGGATGTCTTTGTTAAAGTTGGAAAGTTATACATTTCGATGGACTTTATAATGCTTGAGATGGAAGAGGATATTAAAATTCCTCTTATTTTGGGAAAATCATTCTTAACTACAGTTAGAGCAATCATTGATATGAAGAATGGTAAGATAATTTTTAAAGTTGGAAAAGAGATAGCCCAGTTTAATATATTCAATTCAGCTACGTATCCTTCCTTTACAGAAAGTTGCTACAGAATGGATAAAGTTGATAAAGCTAAATGTAAGCCTATTTCACCACATTCAATCAAACAAGCACCAACTCTTGAATTAGAACCACCACCTTCCATTGATCTTTATTTTGGGGTTGGATAGTAAATAGTATTCTCTATTTTACGCCTTCATCTTTTATCATGGCAACTTCAACCATATTAATGGAAAATCTTTAAAGTGGTAAAGGTTTTGTCTTATGGCCTTATTGAGAATTTTAGTACGAGCATGCAAGGTTAATAAACAAAGTCTCAAGACTTATGTTGTGGATGAAGAAATATAAAAAAGGGGACCATAGTCAAGCTAGTGACTATAAAAAGTGCTTCTTGAGAGAAAACCCACGCTTTCTACACCCAAACAAAAATAAAATTATTTTTCATAAATTTTCATTTATTTTTTAATTTTTAATTCATTTTTATTTCTTTTGTAGTTAATAAAAAAAATTTTCTTTATCTCACTCTTCCACATGTATTGGTGACAATGATGAAAATGAAGAGAAAGAGTAAAAACTCTTTCCATTCTCAAGGGAGTAATCTTCTTCCTTTCTTTTCTATTTTTCTAATATTAAGGACAATTTTAGCTTTAAGTTTGGGAGGTACTTTTAAATTTTTAAGCTTTGGTTTACTCTTTTTGCATTTATGCTTTTAGGTTATAAGTTTAGTTAACATGCAAATCATTTAATTTTTTGCATGTTTTGAGACCTTGAGCTAGAGTTAGTTGTGTCAATTTTTTTTATTTACCTATCCAATGATGAAACCTAGTTGTTTGTTATCATTTGCTCTTAGTAAATGTGAATATTATTTGAGTATTATATTGAATTCTTATGTTAAGCATCATCGTTAGGTTGAGATTTCCCATTAATTGATCACTGTGTCTTTTTGCTTTGAATTATTGTGAACATCTAGAGAAGATTTATGTGAATGTAAATTTTTGAATTATGTCTTGAGTTCTAGAATTTGTTTGATTCTCTCTCAAGGTGAAATCCTAAGCCATACTTAGTTAAGGAAGTGATTTAGGCCATTTTTAGATCGATTAAGCCTTTTGAGCTACCTTGTTATATTTTATCCCTAAAATACCCCTTTGAGCCTAATATAACCTTTTTTTTGTTTGAACAATTAATTATAAACCTAGACCCTTACATAAAAAGTTTCAATTTTTGCATCCTTTAGTCTTAAGTGCATAAGTCAATTTAAGAAATGTAATGAGTTAGATAGTGAAGAACAAGGTATTAAAGATAAAAAGTGATTAAATCTCAAAAGCATGACTATATTCATCTCAGTACCCACTAAAAGAAATAAGTTTGAAAGTGTAATACTAAGAAAAGAAAAGGGGAAGAAAAACAAAAAAATGAATGAAGTCTTGAATAATAGAAAATTTTGATGAAAAAATGGTACTTGGTGAAGGAAAATAAAGCTCTTTATAGGTTCTAGAATGACTATGTGCTTAAGGTGATTTGAGCCACATTAATTTCTCATATCTTACCTTGACCCTAGTCATACATTACAAGCTTGATAAAAACCTAATAATCCTTAATTTAATATTAGTCTATATTAATGCAGAGAGATGAAAAGCAAACCTATGGAACTCCAGTATTAATTTGAACTTGGAATGCATATAGACTTATCCGAATTGTATAATATTCTTAATGAAAAGATTGCACACACATACGAAAATCCATCTTAAAATAAACTTGCATTTGAATTGAAATATGATATTGAATAGTATTTATGTGTTGCTTAGAGTTGAGAATGTGGATTAACTTATGGGGATATTAAAGGTGAGTATTGAGTTGGTGCAATTTATTTCTAATTAAGTTGTTTTCTTTATTTATGTTATTTCATTTTAATTTATGTTTTGCTCGATAACTAGCAGTTCATAAAATGGAAAAAGACAAAAATTGCCATTATAACTCATTCCAATATTAAAGGTGATTATTGAGTTGGTGCAATTTATTTCTAATTAAGTTGTTTTCTTTATTTATGTTATTTTTTTGTTAGTTTATGTTTTGCTTAAGAACTTGTAGTTCATAAAATGGAATAAGATAAGAATTGCTATTATGACTCATTCTAATATTTGATTGGTAAAAACCGTTTTTGAATAACAAAGGAATAGGAGATAAAAAGATAAAATTACCTTTTATTATAATATTTGATTTTTAATTTAAAATATTTATTTTTTATAATTTGTTACAAACATTAATAAATTTTTATTAAAAACTTTAATCTGATAAGTTATTTTTATTTTATTTATATTTCAAAATATTAATAATTTATAGTTTGTTTAAAATATTAATAATTTATAATTTAAAAATTAAAATAATTATTTTATTTTATTCTTTATTCTTTATTTTTAAAATATTAAAATATTAAAAGTTTATACTTAAATATTTAATTTAATTTTTAAATTTAAAATATTATTTTTTTATAATTTATAATTAAAAATTTAATTTTTTATTTTAAATTTTTTTTTGTTTTCCTTTTTCTTTCTTCTAGATTGGCCGAACACCAAATATGTGGTCAATGTAATGGAACGTCATTTTGGCATTCTTTGTGGCTTGATCTTTCTTTTCGTCATTGCCGTCATTGCCTTCCGCCATCCTTTGATGGTGGAAGAAGAGGCATATCAAGAAGAGAGCGGAAAAAAAAAAAAGAAAATGAGGGGAAAACAACTTTTTATATGATAAGGTTAGTAATTTTTTAAATTGAGTAATGGTATTTTTGTCAAAAAAAATTTAGACCATTCTGAAGAGAACGGAATACGTACTACCAAAAGGGGTCAATAAGACTTATTCTTTGTTTACGAAGAATAGCAATTCTTAAAAATGACTATTTTATACTAAAAAAATCAAATAAATTGATGATAACATAACATATTAATGTGATATAATAATATAATTTTATAACATTTTTCACTTTTTGCATCAATGTCATATGAATATAAAATAATAAAAATATTTTATCTAATAAAAATTAATCAACCACTAATTATAAGACCTTATTTACCTCAAAATAAAATGACAAAAATTTAATTAAACACAATAAAAGAATAAAAATTTATTTGAATCTTTATAACTAGTTTAAAGACTTTTTCAAGTATCATACCAAGAATAAAAGTCACCTAGGATTAAAACCAAATGAGTCCTAACATTCCCTTTTGAAAAGAATTGCAAAGTGTTCTACACCCAAACTGTAGTATCATATATTTGGAATACATTTTCTATTTTCATTTTTTGGAAGCTTTTTAAAAAAAAAATTTCAATTTCCTAATTATTTTGAAAAGTTTAAAAAATAAAAATTTATTTTTAAATCATCAACATAATATTTAAAAATTTAACTATGTTCAAACCAAAATTACTAACTTTAAAAAATACAAAGACTCAACTTGTATAAATAATAATAAATTAAATTAAATTAAAATTTTCTATATAAACTGAAGATTGCATCCTCTTTCTACTATTACATTCTTCTTTTGGTTTGGTTCTTTCTTGAGTTGGATTTTATATTTAAGAATTTGCATATTCAGCTCTTTTAATTCATTTCAGAAATCTGAATGAAATCATCACAAATGTTCCATAATAATAAAAAATAAAAACAATAGTACAAAGCAGAAAAGGTCAAAGGAAACAAAGTGTCCTGTTCCTAACAAAGCCACACAACACAATGCTGGAACATTCCAAATGGTAAACCATGGTAACCCAAATTGACCTCATAACATTTTCAACAAAACGTGTCTTTGAAAATACATTACTTTACACAAATTACCAATATGAAATTCAAGCATTGTGTCACACCAGATTGGAAATTCATTCCCTAGTAAGTCATCAATGGTTTCCAGCCTGTCATTGCCTAAAAAAACAAAGCAAAACTGTCATGTAAACCACAAATATACTCAAATACCTTGTAATGTTTTTCTTCTTTCTATTTAACAATATCCCAAATCTTTCTCAAACACATAAGAATGCCCCCAACTGCATGAACCCATTCCCATAACAACAGCCTTCAAGCCTACAAGATTAAAATATATCGGCAAAGAAACCTGGAAAAGCTATACACCAAGTTAAAATCATAAGAAACGCCACCCAGCCTCTCTTCTCATGTTCTACTGCAATGTTCACCATCGTACCACCTTACCACAGCCACCATTGTTGCCAAATATTAATAGAAAAAGGAAGACTAAGAGAACAAATTTTAAAAGAGTTGCAGCTGAGAAAAAGTTTACAATGCACATGCTACTAAACAGGTATGGCATCAGTATTTGACGTGTCTTCACATCTCAATACAATACCATCAAGGCTAGCTGGGAAGATACATTTGGCCCATTGGCACCCAGTTGTAATTGGCTCAGGTGGAGGAACAATCATAAGGACATTGTCATTTCTCTGAACAACTCCCATTACACTAACTGTGCTTCCTTCCTTGATATACCTATAAACGTCAAATTTCAATCTCAAAAAACTTTACAACATGATCAGATTTTTTCAAACCAACTTATTCTAAGATTTGGGATAAGAAAAAGAGCTTTAAAGCCAACTCATTCAACCATTATCTACACAATGCAGACATAATTGCATCTCATATGCTTAGAGATAGAACTATTAAGCTCTGACCTTCAAGCACCCCATGATGACTCCATCAATTTAATTGATAATGAAATTGCTATAGATACAGATGCCCATTCAATGGACTCGATTATAAACAGTATAACCTCAGAAAAAACCACAAACTGGCCTTAGTTCAATTTAAACTTTCTCACCCCAACCCGGAGCCTTCACTATCCTCTAAGCAACCCTAAATTTCCATATTATTTAATTTCATAACTACATTCAATACTTAGACTGGTGGATCAATTCAACTATAATAAGTATGATGCTGCTGCATAAGACAATTCAACGATAACCAAGTTAGATAATTTATATCCCACATCAATCTAAGCCGGACGTACATCTTTGCACTGGGCCACCTTACTTCAGGCTCACTCTCCATCCCAGTTTATGGCACATAAAGACATTGTCACCTAATCCTTACTACTGGAGAATATAAGAAAAGAATAGTCATTTTGAAAACAATGAATTGTAGAAGATAACTTCTCAAAATTTGCAAACTCAAGAATTAGCCCTATTAGCCATCAGTCAAATAGGGAGACCCTCAAGATACCATTCATTATCTGCAACATAAGCACTTAATATTATGGCAAAACTATGAATAGAAGAGAACATTTACCCTTCTTTCATGCGCATTACACGGTCATCACTAGAAAGGTTCCTTTCTCCCAACCACCTGATGAACTCTGGAGATAACGCTTCATTGGCCGGGTTGACATCTATAACAATTGAGTCATCCACATAAGGAGTCACCCTGGCTCCATAGCCCGTTTTAACCAATGCTCTCAACCCAGATTGGAAATCAGAGATGTAGAAGTCAACTGCACGCCTCTGTCAAAATGACATACACAAAAAAGGTTAAATTTGAAAGTATGAAATCTAAAAGAATAGATAAAAAGGATTTATCCTCCAACAACTTAGATCCCATGATGATGGTGTGTAAGAAAGACATGATGACAGGTTATCCATCTTCTCAGAAACATGCAAACAGTAGTCAATTTTTTCTTTTTGCTGAAATATATAAAATTAGTTAAGTTGATCAAAGCTTCTGGACTACTTGATGAAGCACCGTATAATAAATTTGATAATTCAAAATGAGTAAAAAGCCTACAGATCAGTACAAGACTGAACAAACGGGAAACAAGACACAAGGTCTTTCACAATATCACAAGTGATAGTGAAGAACGAACTCATAGATAAAACAATGTCCATTAAATGTCTATGACAAAAGACTCAAAAACTATTATGCACGAAAACTTTGGAAATAAAAGTCACCAATTGACAAAAGGGAATTAAAATATACATAATAATAGGGGCATAATATCCAGCCATAGACAACATATAAACACAAGTTTCAGCACATCTGCCCCAATACAACTTAACCAGAGGGCAATGTACCACTTCACAGCATACTTAAGCCAATAAAGCCTTGTTCCTTTTCACCTTTTTGAAGAGGACAAAATCCTCAGCAACTTGAAATTTAAAAATATGGGTAAGCCTTTCTGTGAAATGTAAATTACAAAGAAACATGGAAAATAACGTTGTCATAAGAACTTGGGAAAAAATAGAATACAAATTAACAATTCAATTACTCACTTCCAATAATCGGAGCCCCCAAGTAAAACGACGATGAGTAGGATTAGCAGCTTTGGAATCCCATCCTCGATACTCATACAAACTGGTAGATGTATACACACATCTTGGAACTTTCTGGAAGGATGACTCAAGAGGCACATTCCCACATGTTACCACCTTCAAAAATTACAGCCACAATCGATGTCATCTACATATTTACAAGCAGATAAACTTAAATGATACCAACAAAAAACACAACTAGACAAGCATAAACGACCTGTAATTCAATTTTCAATAGTTAGAAAATCTGCAGCAGTTACAGGGGATCATATGTACATAAAATTAACGCTTTTTGATCCAACAGGTGCAGCCCATGGCAATTACAATAGGACCTTAAGTTGCAACATGACATCAACATAAATTATAATTTTTATTAATCACACTTCAAATTGTGTAGATCATACAGAAGAAATAGTTTACATAATTTAAGTTAAAACAATCTTTAAGGGAAAATTTATGATTGATAAAGAACTTTTTAAGACTACCTGGTAACTACACAGGCTTAACCTCCTTATCCACTTTCGTATTCCTATATTTTTCCTGGTTAGTAGTTAAAATATATGAGTTATTTCAGTTAGAAAAATAAGAATTTTAACCACCACCTCAATTCTAAGGAACTTCATTTAAGGACAGAGATTACTCCTGAAATCGTTCTGCTAGTTTCTTTCATTCACTTTCGGTTGTATGAGACAAATCTTACTTGCAAAGTTGATTCTTTATATAAATTTACCAGAGCTAGATAACTCTCTAAAAATTTCAATAGCACAAACCCCAATGATCAGAAAATAGAGTTTTAAAGAAGGGAGGACATAGAGAGTGACAAAAACCATTAGGAACAAAACGTACAACACGATCAATCTAAGCCTTTTCCCACTACGTAATCAATTTCCAATATGATCCATATATAAAGATTCAACAAATTCCATGATAGCTGTCAACTACTTAATGAAACCCTTGTCCTTAATCTTGGCTTAGGACCAACTATAAGGGAACCCTCAACAAAGGCAGTATTTCACAGAGGAAGAGAAAAGACCGTCAGGATTTGAAGAATAAATCATTGGAAAAACTGGGATGTTCATGTGAATGTAGATCACTAGTTGCTACTAGCAATTATGAAAATATCATATCTAATCATAAATTAAGTCCCATACCCCAGATATTTTCACGAATTGCCCATTCTTTGCATTTCTAAGCTCTGCATCTGGATAACGAGCAATGAAACCCATAACAGCTTTTCTCCCCCAACAGGAGTTCCAAGCAAATAATGCAGCAACAGCACCAAAAAGAACCACAACAACAATAAGGAGAATGGCATTGTGAACTGCTCCAAGAATAAAACCACCAGCAATGAAACCCATTACAAACAGCAGTATCAGTGCCCATAATATTGGTTTTGGGAAGTTCCTCTTGAAAGAAAAGTCATCATCTTGGCTAAGAACAGTCACAGCCTGATTATGAGCAGCAGAACCTTTCACTTTCATTGATCCCATTGATTCCAAAGGACCAGAAACTTTCCGAGGAGCCCCAGAGGAATTTAGTGGCCCTGAAGAGATGGGCCCAGACGTGATGAGGCCAGTTGTGGGGAGAGCAGGAGGAATAGGACCAGAGTTTTGGCGCCCAGTTGGTGTTACTCCCCCAGATTGTGGACCAGATGATTTCTTTACAGGATCCCCATGTCTATTCAATGGTCCAGAATTTGACTTCTTTAATGAGGCTGAACCAGACATGCCTCCAGTGGCACCTGGACCTGACGTAGTATAGCCTGCCCGAGGCGCTGCATTAGGCATGATTGGTCCAGAATGCGAAGCAGCACCTCCAAAAGACCCAGTCCTTGAAGGAGCACTACTTATAGGCCCAGATTTCCTGGACTTAGAACCATCCATGGGGATATCAAACATTTTCCCCAATTCTCCTGACTTCTTAATATCTCCACCAGTATAGGGCATGGCCACTGAGCTCATGGTTGGGGTCCTTTCTTTAGGCTGCTCTGGCCTGCCTGACACATAAAGCCCATTGCTGAGCTTATGAGATGGGAATCTGGAACCCATCTAGCTTCCTAAATAGAATGCACCAAGATATCACACAACAACTGCCAGCACTATGCAGACAACAAACTCAAAGCCCCCCTGAGAACAAAGAGCACCTTAGCCATCAGAAGAGTGGTTTATTCCAATAATTTCAGAAATATATATGGACTTATCACAAACTAGGCATCAAAGGTATAGAGCCAACTGACACACAAAAGAGGTAAACCACAGAAAGACATATAGCAGTAGAAAAGAGAACATAAAGTAATCTTGTACATAATAAAAATAGTATTCAAACAAAATTCCACTAGTATATAGAAGAAGCATCAAAGTTTCAAAATGTGATTTCATCTCAGATTTTTGGTTGTGAGCATGCAGGGCTTTTCAGTAACCAGATAGATTTTCATCAGATCTCTGATACACAGTGGGGCACAATAATGAGGCAGCAACATGGAAGATTACACGGAAGAATAAAAATGAAAGACAAGAAAATCATTGATCCAAAATTTCAACGAAGCATGCAATGGCAGAAATGAGCAAATTCAATTAGCAGGATCCAATATGATAAGGACACATTACACTGAACATAAGCAACATAATCAAAGCACTGAAGAATCATAGGACATGATTAGATTCTTCGCAAACCATTTGCAAAGGAAGGTTCATATGATCACAAACAGTCTTATAATCAAAATAGACTCCGTCAAAATCCCAGCTCATAGCAATTCACAAAGAACACTTCCATTCTCACAAATTAGATATTCCTTTGTTTACCAAATGATCAATAAACAGAAACACTACAAAAATCCAAAAGTCCAACAATATCCCTGAATAGTTTGTTAGGCTTAATGTACTGGAGACTATTGCATTATTATATTATCAGAAGTTAAGGCATCAAAGATAAATTTATTTGTCAAATCAAGCAAGTAAACCACAATAGAAATTGTGTCCCAGAACAAAGCATCCAAAACAGTGACCAACTCCCAATCTTGCAATGCATGGACTGATTTCACATTTCAGCACAGATACCCCAATCGAATAGATAAAACTGCCTAAATCAATGGATCCCAGAAAACTGATAATTGAAAACATTGGTAATCAGCAAGAAACAGCTTCAAAAAGGGAACCAAGCAATCAAATGGAGAACTGAAGTCTGAAGCGCCCCCCCCCCCCCCCCCCCCCCTTGTTTAACTTAGTTGAGAAAAACTGGGGGAAAGAAGGGAAAGAAAAAGCCAAAGCTATTCAAGAAAAGAAGATAACCTTACACTAAATTGTGCGACACCTAACTGTAAAGGCAACAAATGTCACAGCTTATATCAAACACAAGGTCATAATTATACTTACAAAGTAAAACAATGAAATAAAGCAATCCAAACACTCTTCATACTTCAAATTCTCATTAGGCATAATTTAACGGAGTTCTAGGCAGCAGGAAAATTATATACAATGATCACTTGTAAGTCAGAAAGCATATGGTATCATAAAAAGGACACACACAAACACACACACACATACGCACAGAGAGAGAGAGAGAGAGAGGAAAACAAGTTCACAAACTAGCCATCTGTTCACCACATTCCACCACCTAACCAATTTAAACACGTCATGGTTTCAAATGAAAGTCAAGAAAAGACAAAGATCTGAAGGCAGAAAAATAGAAAGAGAACTTAGTTGCAGTGAAAAAAGGCTGAAGGAAGGCCTTTTTCCCTTGTCCTATTTCACAGTTTCTCAGGAACAATAGAATCAATCAAGTCAAGTTACTCAGATTTTGCAAGAAGATCATCATTGCAAATCACCGTAAAAGTTAACAAAAAAAAAGTTACCATTTAAGTTATCTACTACCCAAAGAACCAGAATCAATCACAGAAATCATAAACACTAAGCACACCAAATCAACATTTCAACAAAATCAAGGAAAGAGGTGAGATCCAATACTTGGTCATGAAAAGCTCCAAAACATAAGAAAGTTTAAGATTCAATATTTCCTTTTACAATATTTTCTCTTCAAAAACACAACCCAAAATGGGAATGCCTAATAACCAAAAGATGTGGACTTTCACAACTTTCTAATTACGAAAGGTTTCATACAAAAAAGACAACCTGTTACACTCACCAAACACCTGAAGAACCAAATTTACAACCCAAATCAAAGAAACAAAGCATACTCTCTTCCTGTTTTTAACCAAAAATAGATAAAATGAAGGAGATCTATACAGAAAAACATATATCCCCAAGCTAAATGAGCTCAGTTAAAGGAACGTTTTCATTTTTGTTTCGACATACAGTTCAAAATATAAGATTTAACACATGAATATAAGATTTCACTTACATTTTGATTTTGTCAAAAACAAACCAAAACATATAGCGTTTGGGTATCAAAAATGAAAACATTCCTTTTTTAACTCCCAAGAATTAAAAGAAGCAAATTTGCAGGTTGAATCACAAAAACAAAAGATACCCAGATCGCCATTTGGAGTAAAAACCAAGAAAATTGGAAAGATCTGAGAGATTTCTGATGTTTTGTGGGAGTAGAGGACAATAGTAGAAAGGAACTAAAGAGTTGTAAAAATGGCAATATATGTAGAAGAAAAAGGTAAAGCAAGAACATACCTGAAGTAAAAGAAGACAGAGTTGAAGAAGAAATGAGGAGATTTGGAGACATTATAGATATTATAGGAAGAAAAGAAAATCAAACAGACAGACACAGAGAAGAGTCGTTCCAACAGCAATCCCACACTCTCTCTATAAAAAGTCTAAGGTTTAGTTGTTTTCTTTACTGTTGTTGTTTGTTGTCCCTTTCTCTCTCTAAATATCATAATACAACAAATTCCTTTATATATAATTTTCCTTTTTCTAGTTTCAGCTGTCACTTGAGAGAGCCGCAACAACTGGTGGGTTGTCTCGTCTCGTCCGGCTAAAGCCTCCAAACTCAAGCAAAAATCATTGTTGTTGAGATAATCATACTATCAATATCAGGTTAGAGCTCAATTCCTAATATAATATATCATTCTTTTCTCTGTAAGTGTTTTTTTTTTTTTTTGAAAGAGATGGTAATTCATGATTTTGTCTTTTACTTTGAATTTGAAGCAATTTATTTATTTTCGATTTTGTTTTCAGAAATTTATAATTGTTAGGACTGGGGCTTGAAGCCCGTATGGTTAGAGGCCCATGATGCCCCTTTACAGGCCAAAACACCACCTGCCTTTAACATTAAGGTATTGACCAATGATTTCTAAAATACATCCACTTACGAGGTATTATTCACTTTAGGCCTTCACAGTTTTTATCTTTTCAAAGAAGATGTCTCGTTTGAGAAAAGGGCAAGCCTTTGCGTATAAGATAGATTAATCTGTAGCTATTATCAACTGTCTTCTGTTTCTGTATATATACCCTTTGATCTTGTTTGCTTTTAATCGTGAGGCAATTTCTGGCTCTAATTGTTCTTTTGATGTTGTGTTATGTTTATGATGGGGATGTGGTTCTATGATCTGCTTTTTCAGTTCTTTGGGTTTGAATCTCTGGTTACATTGTTCATGGTGTCCTAGTGCTGTTATTGCTATAATAGCTACTATGTTCCAGGCATTGTGCCCTCCTTGAGTGTGGATTGCATAATGCCTTCTGGGGTTGTGATTTGGATCTGGTTTTCTGGGTAGAAGTCTGGTTATTCTCTCAGCTGGAGCCTGGTAATGTACATAGATTGTGTATTTTTTTTTCAAGTGCTATTTTATAAATTATATATGCAAGCCCAATTTAATTGAATATTTGTCGATTCCCCTTCATATCTAATATTTTGTAGGCTTAGCTGGATTAATCTCTTACATCCCTTAATAGTTAGATTAATGTATGATTTCCAAGTACCTTCAAACACAAGCTACTCCACCCTTAGCAAACCATATCGGTAGATGTTTCCTCTTTAGAACTTTGGATGGCCATTGGTTAATTTGTGTGCCAATTAAAACCTTGTCTGATAATATTAGTTGCTCAATTGATTTTATACATGGTTTCATAAAAATTGGATTTGAATCATTGAGTGTTGCTAGTACAAAGTGAGTTATCTTATTATGTGTTATTATATGACTTATATATTATAAATTTATATTTATATGATTGTTTTTTTTTTTGAATGAATTGGGTTCAAGGAGTACAATAAAATCTATCACTCGAATATTCTGAGAACCTAATTGACCAATCTCAAATTGAATTAATTTTGGATTTGTTGTTTAAGTCCATAGAATATACAAGTTGTCGACATTAAAATATTTCATCTATTATACTAGTTGTCAACATTAGTTACATTAGTCATGTCAATGGAATATACGAGTTTGGGTTGAAAGAGCACAGCATAATCTATCACTCGTAGATTCAATGAACTAGACTAATTTATTCAAGATTATTTAGCAAGCAAGGATTGAGCATATTGTTACGAAGTCCCTATTTGTTCAATAATCTCGAATGGGTAAGTCAAGTTATAGAATATACGAACTGTCAATATTGAAATCTTTGAATGGAAAATAGATAAAGACTACAAAATGAGTGCTTTTGTAAAACATGTGTTTTGTTGTCTTTGCATGTTTTTTATTCAAGATGAGTGCTTCTGTCGAAGGTTAATTTTCATTTTCTCCAATTAGCATGATTTTTAAATTTCATTCTTTTTGTTCTCATAGTATTAGTATGTAAGATCATCTTTTGAGTTGACTAATGATCTTCCTTGTCGACTGATGATCTTCCTTCTCAATTAATTGGGAATTATATTTTTGAACCGCACTTATCAAACATGATCAAATTGAAAGGAATGGTCTTTTCAATGTAATTATATTTAATTCAAGTAGTTCAGAAATAGAATATTCACAGTCGAAGATTTTCAATCGACTAAGAAAGTATCTTATATACTAATATTATAAACATAGGGACATTTGATTACTTTAACTTTTAATGAACTTAAAGTCTGGCGCCCAGTAACTTCTCAATTGAGTGATGTGGTTGGTAATTCACGTCGAATCTTCACCAAAGTAGTTGGCGAACCCTTATGACGAAAGGATGATACTAGTAGATAGATTGTTATTTTTTTTTCATTGGATTCTTTATATTCTTGTACGCTTTTGACTTTTTATTTTTAATTGATTGTAATAAAAATAATACAATTTGTATTCATGTTTTTATTAATTAAAAAATATTTTTACATATTTCTAATATTTAAAATTATTATATATGTATTTTTAATTTTTTAATATTATGTTTTAAAAATTAAAAAAATACTTTTAAATCTTTTACCTATGAAATTAGGGGTTGCATTACTAATGGAAATAACATTATCACCAACGAAATAATAACAACCTTAGACAAAAATAATCAATAAGGTTCTGTTGATAATTTTAATGGTAAATTATTGACAAAAAACACCATCTAGAAACTAATCAATATGACCAATAATGTTATCGGCAGATTAAATGCACTGCCAACCAACTGTCCAATTAAATACTCCGTTAGAGATATATCAAGAAATTAGAGGCATTGTCGACCAATTGTTGAACGAAATATTCTGTTAAAGATTTACCATAGGAAAACTTAATTGTCGTTGATGTAGCTTTACCAACTAAGGTTTTTTTGACTAAATTTCAAAAAAACTTTTTGTTAATAGGTTGTCAGCAATTTATGTTATCGACGAAATTTAACCCTTTATTGACAAAAAATTTCATCGGTGAAAGCATTAATTTTGGTGGTGATATAGATGAACCTTAATTAAAGGAGTAAGGACATTATACTTTCAGGCCTTGGAGTCACAATCACAAGGTTTTCAACCACAATATAATCCTCAATATTGAGCTTAGGTTGTAGCAAATCATTTTTAACTAAAAAAAAGTTATAGCAAATCACAAGTTATCAAGTTGTACACCTTCCAATGGTTATCCATACGAATGTTTCTTGTAAATAACTCCTATAGACAACTCATTTTGTTTAGAAACATCTCTTACAAACTGTCATATCTCATTTTATAGTGAAACATGATCGATACATGAACCTAGGCGGGTATAGCCCACTAGGCCAAAACAAGCTTCTTTAACATTCATCATTAAACATTCATCAAGGCAGCAAGCATACATAAACGTCTATAGGCATACAAGATCAATTCATGCATACCATCATACGCAACTTTTTACATATATATAACTTCTTAACATATTAGTGTAAGTGCAACATTTTGTATATCATCCAAGTGTCACATTTCTAGTACACCATAATATTTATATGTCTCAATACCCTTGAGTGTCCATATGGGCGCTCGAGCCACTTTACACATTTTACATAACATTCATAATGTAATAAGTTCAAACATTTGGCTACATTATGATAACATACTCATAATCTATAAAACATGTTTCATAGTTTGTAAACATAAGCATAACATGGATTGACTCGTGAGTAAAATATAACTCAACTCACTAGGCATCGAAAGGATGCTAAACACCTACCAATGTGAAACAAACGAATTACGTCTCTATGACACTAACTGTTAGCAAAAAAGCTATCAATGATTCACCTACCAATGAATGGCTTAACCATTCCCCTCCACCAAACATGCCATTAGTACTTCAAAAACTACTCTAATCTTCCTCTCCACCATCTTTGATACATTCTTTTACTTTTTTGCAACTATTTCTCTTCTTATCACAAGAGCCCCCTTTACAAACATATAAATTGGTATCTCATATTTTGATTAAAATGTTAATATATTGTATCCACTTTTTTTTAAGATTTGTAAAAATATCAAATGAAATACAAAATATACATTTTAGTAACTTATTGGTATAATGCTTTTAAATACTCTTGCATTATTTAAAAAAATTCTAATAAGTCATTATTTTCTATTACATTCAATTAAGCCCCTATATATTTATTTTGAACTAAATAGGTTCTTATAACTAATGGTTAACTAACTATTCTTAGTTAAAATGATATCTTTCATTTTATACTCACATAAGGCTAGCATGACATTGGCTTGGAAGGTGAAACTATCAAATGTTTATATAATTATGTTACATCAACATATCACATTACTATCTATTTTGATACATCGACATGCCACGTTAGTGCCACGTTAGTGCCACATGATTGAACGTCACCATTCATGCCACGTCAAAAGATGACAAGTGTCGTTTTGATTAATAATAGTTAGACAAGCTTTAATCTTAAGGACTTATTTCACTTAAAATAATAATACAAAAAACTAGATAGAACATAATAAAATATAAAGATTTATTTAAATTTTTTAAATAATTTAAGGACTTTTTAAGATATTATGTCTAATTTATTTATAAACTTTTAGTTTAATGACTTTAATGGTCAATTTTTCTTACCACATTTCACTTCATTGTCCGTATTACTTTTTGTTAAGCACATTTGGTCCATTCATTGGTTTTGTTATCATTGTTTTCAATCTTAGCACAGTCAATCTCACCCGTTATGTCGAATAGAGCCTTACTTTAACATATTTTATTAAGTTATTTTTCATTTTACTCCACCATTGTTTTCAATTCTTATCATTGTCATGGGGCCTTACTTTTTAATATTTTTTATTGAGGTTTTTCATTTTACTTCACCCTAATGGGTTTTTCGTTTTTATTGGCATAGTGTCTAAAAGAAATTTTAAATTATTTTTAAAAGTTGAAATAAGTCACTATTTTTTTTATAGTATTTACTCAAATCTTTATATTTTTATTTTGAATCAAATAAGATCTTCTACTTTTATTTTGAACCAAATAAATATTTATGATTAATGGTTAACTTAGTTAAAATGTCATTTATTATTTTGTGTTAAATGACGCTGACGTGACATGTTGATTTAGTATGATAATATGATCATATGATTTTTTTCATTCTTCATGTCAACATTACGTCAATGCCACATAGACATAAAATAACAAATAATATTTTGGTTAATAATACTTAATCAACCATTAATTATAAAGGTTTAATTATTTGATATAAAATAAAAGTATAAGAACTTAATTAAATATAATAAAAGAATAAAAAATTATTTAAATTTTTTCAAATAATTCAAGATTTTTTTATCATTATGTCTTTTTTATTTTACTTCAACTATACTTCCAAGAATTGACAAAATAAGCCGTGGATGGTGGATGATGTAATGTGGAAGTAAGAGACAATGATGTGTTTTTCTAAGTAGTTAAAGCATTTTCTTCTCCAAATGTAATGATTTTTCCTTAACTTTCCAAGACACCCTTTTGCAACTATTTAATCTAATTATGAATTAACAACTATAATAATAATAATAATAATAATAATAATAATAACTACAGTATTAGTGTATTACTTCATTATTTAAACCACTTTGCATTATGTAGTTAAAAAAATATAAAAGACAATAAGAAATAATGGTAACTAGAAGAAGATCCCTAGGGCTACAAGAAGGCTTTGAAGCCAAATGAAGTTGGTCTAAACACAACCCACAAAATGGGGCTATGCAAAGTATATTAAAACCAAAAATCATTTGCTTTGTTTAAAAATGCATCATGTAGGATTGCATATGATAGAAACCAAAAAAGATGAAGTTCAAATTGTCAAGGCAGTTTACCTTCTTCATAATGTTATTCTTTTAATTGATTATTTTTTGGGTGCATGTGAAACTTCATTAAACTTTTAACTATACAAACATCGGCATAGTTAGATCCTACGTTTGAGAGACGAAATCAATATCTATAATATAGTCATTCTATAAATTCAATGATTAACAAAAATATGAAATCGTAGGGTCTTGAGACAATGAGGCTTGGAAAAATTTTATTATAATAAATTGTATTTTAATTACTAAATTTACTAAAATTACTTGTTGATTAATTATTGTAGAATATTTCACCAAATAAAAATAATAATTCTTTCTCATATCTGATCGTCTTTCCCATATTCAAACTTGAGACTTTTAGGAAGAAATTCCAAGTTCTAACAATTTTAGTGTATGTCAACGCCTCCTCTCATGGGTTGCTTAACAATTCAACCCTTAAGAGATGTCAATTATGAATTAATTGTGCATAATTGAGTGTGAACAATTTGCTTTCTCTTTTAACAATTATTCCGTTAGTAATATTTAATATTAGTATTTCATTGATGATACACTGATGGATTTTTTTTTTATAATTGGAAAAAAGGAGATTCTAATATTACTTTTTTAAGCAAAGAAATAATGCATTAACCAATAAGTCAAATGCTCAAGTACATCGATAAATTTTTTATTGATAAACTATATATTTTACTCATTACATTTTTTTAAATCACCATTTATCATTTTAAATAATTTTTAATTATTATGTAAATAGTTTTTACATTTGTATATAATAGTATTAAACAAGGATTGAAATTCAATTTAAGAAATATGCACAATTGCTAAACAAAATAAAGCCGCAACTTCTTTTTAAATTGCTATTCTAAATATTTTTATTATCAATATTAATACAATTTATTGAAGTTTTGAAATAGAATTTTTAATTACATTGAGTTACTTTTATTAAAAATGTTTTTTTCCTTCGTTTTAACAGTATGAAATAATTCATTGATTAATATTACAAATTTTGAAATTATTTATACTTTAAAAATATTTGTATTTATATATAATTATTATAAAATGATAAAAGGTAAACTCTACCTATACTTATTGTGGCTTCACATGACACAATGTGGTTTTTTTTCCCCTCAATTAGTACCATAGGGATTTTTTTTTCTCAATTAGAATATTGTGGATAAGTTCTTAAGATGTTCATTTCATCTAGTAAAATTATCAACATACCCTTAAAAATTAATTTATCTATTCTTTTTTTTGTAATTTTTATTAAACAAAATGAACAACTTAATCTTTTGCGAGAATAAAAATTATTTAAAAAATGCTAGTGAGGAAAAAAAGCCATAAAATACTAATTAAGAAAAAAAAACACAAAATATCATAAGAGAGCAATTGAAATTAAAAAAAAAGTGTAGATATAGTTTAACTAAAATAAATAAAATAATATTAACGTAACTACAAATACTAACATTAATAGTGGAATTAAATTCGTAGCTGTCTCGGATCAAGACCTTTATAATATTTTATAATAGTACTTATCAATTCTTTTATGATTGATGGAAAATAAATAATATAATAGCTTATCATATATTTTTATAATTAAGTGGCACTGGGTATGAAATTGTCACTACGACACTTGGAACTTTAAACACTAAAAAATACTCCAAATATTTGTGGATAAAAAGAAATTAAGATTTTACATGACAGATATTGATACGTGGCAGCTACATTTCAAATTTTTTTCTTCTTCCTCCCCTCTTTGCTTTGCCTTTCTCTTCCTTGCTTTGTTTTTTTTTTTTGATATGTATATTATCTGAAAAAATTCTTAAATTATTGAAAATTTTTTAAATAAATATTTATTATTTTATTATATTTAATTAAATTTTTATATTTTTATTTTTGAATCAATTAAATTCTTATAATTAATAATTGACTAAATATTATTAGTTAAAATATTATATTTTATTCTATATCACATAATACTAAAGTGATATGCCAACATATTATAAAAATAATAAGTTGATATACTATTACGGTCATGTACATTTTTTACTTTCTATATCAATGTTATATCATTGTCACTCTATCACTATTTTGGTGTAAAATGTTAAATAATATTTCGATTAATAATAATTAGTCAAATATTAGTTATAAATTTTTTTATTAAAATTAAAAATATATAAACTTGATTGAATGTAATAAAAAATAAATATTTATTAAAAATATTTAAATAATTTAAGAATTTTTTTTAAATATTATTTTCTTTTTCTTTCTTTTGGGTTCATTGATGGGGTAAATTTGACACCTCAACCAACGTGGCTTCGAGCATGGTAGGGCTCGGTCCAGCCATAGCGTCCCAAAAAAAAAGGGGGAGATGATTAAAACTTAAAATAAAAAGGGGAAGGCAAAGCCTCATTTAGATGGGTACACATCACATAGAGCTAATTATATAAAAGTTTGATATATCACATGAATCCTACTGAGGTCTAAATTTGAATAACTATAAAGTTGTAGGGGTAATAACTATAATAAATGATAATTATGGCAAGATGACAAGGGCCCAGATTTGTTGGGCCAAGATCTATATGGATATTAACCTAGCCCAATAGCTATACAATTCCAACACCTAAACAAAATGCATTGGCCTTGCGTGGACAACAGAGAGTGGTTTGTTCTCTGTCTTTCATATTTATATGGTAAGTTTATCACTGCTGATTATTAGTGTAATTAATTACAAATCAAACAGAATTGGTTTTTCCTCTTGCTTATCAGTTAATTTTGGTCTGTTTCTCCAAGGTTCTGGTCTGTCATTTCTTGTGTCTCTATTGTCTCCTATCTTCAATTTGATTGACTTTGGCTGGATATTCACCAGTAAATAATCAACCAAATGCATGTGAATATCAAATGATGAAGTTGCTCAAGACATTTGCTGAATGTCAAGTCTGAGGTCTGCCCATCAATTTTTTCTCCCACACATTTATGGAATTGCCTATATTCGTTAACTGGCTTCGGTTTTTTCTTCTCAAATCTTGAAATAGCGTTGGATTTTCTGATATGCTGAAGAAATTAAGAATCTGGGTCTTTCTTGATTTCTGTAATTTTCCGGGAAAGTGGTTCCCTTTCAATTATTGAACTCAGTAAGCTTGTGTTTTTATGCGTTATATGGTTTTTGGTCTGATAGAGTCTCCTTTTTTTTCATATGTTTATTGATGCAAAGAATTCTTGCTTGTTTGAATGATATGGGAGGAAGACGAATCAAAGGAATCAAACGATTTGCCAGGGAAGAGAGAGAATACTTTAGAATCTTTGCATTTCTTTTTGATTGGTGTTTGCTGTTATGGAACTTCCCATTGGTTCGCATCCACCTAAAAATTCAGTGGCTAATTTATTCTAGTTTATAGATATACATCTGGCTTGGAAATACTCTTTTTTTTTTTAGTTCATAGTTAAATTTTTTATGGATATTATACAAGTTTTAAGAGCAATTTGGGATGCTGATTGCCTGATATTTGATGCTGTCATCTGCTCTCACGTGTAGTGCTACACCTTGATCTTTCATGCAAGAAGTGTTTATGGATCAGTGTAACTTTGTTTTCCTATATTTTTCAGGTTCCTCGGCTATTACTGAAATGCTCAGTAGGAGCTATTGCTCTGGCAATGACCTTATTATTTTAGTAGAGATTCCTTATAATTCGCGATGCAATTAGTATCAAATGATAGTCAAAAGGAAGATATTTCAGAAAGTGAACCCATCTTATGCCAGTCTGATATTTCGCAAAGATCGGAAGAATGTTCATCTTCGTGTGAAATTACAGCCATTGGGGGGGATTCTGTTGTTGTTGATGATGATTTGGAAGATATTAACGTTGATGAAACTTGCCATCTGGTGAATGCAGACCACCCGCAATGCCGTATATGCCTCGATATTGGAGGTGTTCACTAGTCCCACCACCCCTCCCCCCTCCTCCCCCTATCATCACCTTGGATGGTGGATTTCCATTTTTCTGAGAAAACTGAAGATGATTTGTGCAGAACACAAACCATAAAACTGATCTAATTATGTTGAGATACATGATTACTTATTTTACAGGTGATGACTTAATCGCACCGTGCCACTGCAAGGGCACTCAGAAGTATGTCCATAGATCCTGTCTTGATAACTGGAGATCAACCAAGGTTATTGCCTGTTTCTTTGCTGTTTTCTTAGTGTTGGAAATGACTTGAGCCACTTGTGGAAAGTTCAAGTTTGAAATGCTCTATTAATGAGAAGTTTGGCATGCTCAAAATTTGTGTTCATGTTTGGCTTGTTTAAGTAGACAAGCTTAATTCACGCAATAACGTAATGCATTAAGTATTTGATAATTATAATATGTAGCATAAACATTTGTTATTATCTTACAGATTCTTATATTATGTGTATTATCACTGAGGTCGAACTTGAGAAATTTTTTTTGAACCAATATTGAGCTTTGTGAGATTTGTTTGAGTTTATCCAGCCAATCTTGCATACCAAAATTTTACAGAATTTGAGTTTCTAATTGTGACTCCTTCTCAGGTTTTTTAAATACTCCTTAGAATAAAGGAATTTTAGAAATATTTAGTATCTCCGTGTTCATTTAATTTTACATGTGTAGCTAAAATAAATGTATGATTTTACTATCTTTATGTTGTAAATTCTGTTTTTAATTTTGATAATTAATACTATTTCTTGGATTTTTTTTTTCTAGGAGGGCTTTGCATTTGCTCACTGTACAGAGTGCAGGGCGCTGTTCATATTACGTGCGAATGTCCCACCTGATCGCTGGTGGTTGAGATTGAAATTTCAGTTCCTTGTTGCAAGGGACCATGCATTCATCTTTGTAATTGTTCAGCTGGTATGATGGTTGACTGTCAGATACCATTTCATTGATCTGGCATGTTTCTTTAAATGTCGATTCATTTGAATTTTTCTGAGGGAGTTATATGCTACTGCCAGAAGTTTAAGAAAAATAAAGTCAGAACAAATTCTGGGATTATTGGCAAGTTGTTTAGTCCTTATTATTTAGTTAACCCTGAGTCTGAAATCATGTTCGTTTAAGTTATTATGCCACTAGTTTAGTTTATTTAGGTTTTTCTCAATTTCTTCTTGCAAGGATACTTTGGTTAATCCTAGATTTACTGGAACTTGGCTGTTGCATAAATCTGTGCGTTCTAGTGTGATTAGGATTAGGTTTTTTAGTTGTTACATGCTAATCCTAGACTTACGTACTAGAAAAGCCCTTGAACAATGTACATTTATACAACTAAGTCCCTATACTTTTATTGTACTCGAGCAAGCTTTTATCCTTTGATTTGTACACACAATGGAAAATTAACAGCTGTTAGACCTAATGCCAACTGATATTTTCTATCCACATGGCATATGACGTAACCACATGGTAGCTGATGTGGAATAGGCCACTTCGCCACATCATATGTCACGTGAACAGAAAATGTCAACTGGCATTGGATTTGACGGTTGTTAATTTTCTGTTAGGGTTAAAGGCTTGTGGCTTGTTTGGATATAATATAAGAATAGGGGTTTAATTGCATAAATGAACATAGCTTAGGGACTTTGTTATTATTTAAACCTTAATTTAATTGGTTTCTGGTTGTACTATTGATTTTTTTTTACCAGTAGATAGAGTGCTGTTAGCATTGGGAAAACCCATGTGTGTGTGTTTGTGTGTCAATTCAAAGCTTTTATACACATATAGCATATCTATACACTCACACACATGCTTATATTGTAACCTGACAGTTGAGAGCAAAGAATAATAATAAAAGCCTTGAAAAATTGTGGCATCATTAAGGTGTGGTTGCCTCCATCTTTAAAGTGTATTTGCTTAGGGAACAGTTGCTGTGGTTGCCTAGGGCTCTCTATCTCTTATTGTCCTTTTGTACTTATCTTATTTGCCTGCACATTGTATGATGCTACCATGACTTGTCTTGTTTGCTTGAGCACTTAAGCCTTGAAGTATAGCATTTCACCTTTTCTCACTAGAATATTGAACTCCATACAATCCCGTAAACCTTCAAATATTAGAGAAGTAGTGCTATTCTGAAGACCTTGGGCTGGCCAATCACCCATTGTGTTATCAATATTATTTGAATAATTTATCCATTGCGATGCACCTAATTTCCATCTGTAGCACCCATGATCTTTTGTTGCTTTTACTTTGAAGTCAAACCTCTGGAAAGAACATCACTTCTAGACATGGTCCTATATTCTCCCATCATTCTTCTATGTGCATACTACAGCAATCTTAGGAAGTCTTTTGTTGCTTGCTGTGTTGCTCAGACTTGGGTATGAGTGTCAGATGTGCGTAATTGTCCTATTTGGGTATGTCTATATTTTTGTAACCTTCATACCCCTGTCTCTTTTGAAGTGGCAAACATTGGTTTGACACAGGCTAGGAAAAATGATGAGTTGCAGTATCAGAGCTTGTTTGAAGTTCATTGAGTCAATATCTTCAATGAAAACGTAACAAGTGTTTGTGCTGTGTAAATTCAGGCAGAATATGCATTTTTTGAAAATCCATTTACTGCTCTCGATGCCTACATTTTACATCCTGGATGTTTTACTTGCACTCAGCTGCTGATTTAATGTTCTTTAGGCAGATCAATTTTGAAGGTCCTTCTGTGTTACAAATTTACAACAGACATATAATGTAAATTGAAACCACGCTTTGAACAGATTGTGGCATTCCTAGGAGTGCTGGTCTACAAGTTTTATGGGGAGGAACTAAGAGAAATGTTTGGCTATGATGAACATCCTTATGGGTTCTATGCTATGGCTGGTACTGGGTTTTCTTTCTCTCTCTCTCTCTCTGACATAGACTTACACAAAAGCACTTAGGCATGCACATATGGTTACATACAAGCTTTATGCTTAGTTCCCCTTCTCTTTTAATCTTTCTCTGGATTAATAAAAATTGCATGAAGTATATGTTTCCTTAATCTTTGAATTTCTCATGCAGTGTTTATATATGCTTCATTTTTTGCCTCTCCTGTATATGTTGCATAGTGTGATTTTGCAGCATGGTGGTTGAACAGTTTCAATATATTAGTGAGTATGATGCTTTAAAACTTCATTCTCTCCTCTGTTCTATTTCTCTCGTCAATCTTGGGTTCAAATTATTAACAAATTAAGCTTAGTTTAGTCCAGTTTCAAATTAATAAAATTAAAGTTACATGAAATTTACTAAATCAATTGTAAAGAAATGTCTGGAGTAGAAAAAATATCTCTTTTGGAATTTCTTGCCAACACCCATTTCCAAAACCTCAATAGTAAATGCAATTTTTTTAATCAACTATGAAGGCATGTTATACTGCACAAAGAATTGGAAATTTAACTTGGAAAATATTGTATTTAAATTTAATTTAAGCATTAAGAAAGCATATTACCATGTCAAGTAGGCTTTATTTTAAAATTTTATGGTTGGCTACATGAAGTGGGATAAGATAAAAACAACCTGCAATTTTGAGCTGGAAACTGGGAGAAATGAATACTGATCATAGAATATCTTTGTACTGTTATGAAACTTCAGGACAAATGATGGTGCTTTCTGACATGATTTTTTATTGAAATCCTTGGTAGAAATGTTAATTTATTGCTTGAACAAACTTGGTGGTTTATACAATAAGTGAAGGATGTTTGGTAAAATGACAAGTAATACGTTATGGCAGAAGCATCCACTTTAAGGTGTGAGGAAAGCTTTATAGATTTGCCTAGAAGGCTTCTCACTTTGTCCTGTGTGGATATCTTTGACCAGTGGAACTTATGCAGCAAAGAACAAGGAAAAACAGTTTGGTCTTTTCTAAATATCATGAGTTGAACTTGGGTTCATGCAACCCAAAGAACCAAACCAAAGAGATTAATATTGGTTGTTTTTGATCCAAACATTTCTTTTCTTACTTGTTGGTTGTTGTGTGTGTAGCATCATTGTACCAATATTCTCTATTAGTTCAATCAGTCACCATTCTGCTCCTTATGACATGGAAGATTGCATACCTGGTCAGCGTGCTGAGTTTACCATCTTGATGTAATACTATCAAAGTAAAAATTTAATGGTATCTATTATTTTCTTCTGCCGTGCAGTTTTAGCAATTGTTTTGGTGGGTTTGCTTTATGGTTTCTTCATTGCTATTATATGTGGACAGAGGATCAATGAACGACATTATCATGTTCTTGCGAAACAAGAATTAACAAAGGTATCCCTCTGATTGAGCAAAAGATTAAAAAAAAAAAGAAGAAACAAAGGTATGCCATTAGATTAAAGGAGAAAACCCTGGTTTTGGTATTTTGTTTTGATTTATTCAGGTTTACACATTAGCCATTCAACTTTAAAATTAAAATGGTGGAAGAATTTTGTTTCAATTATAAGTTGAGAGTGCTATTGAATATTGAGTGTTGCATTCATCAACTTATTTATAAATGAGCTTCCTTGTGCTTCATTTCATAGTATGTGTAGTAATAATCTCATTTTAATTTTGTGACATTCTGTTGGTTTAATCTGATGTCTAGCCATCGCACCCCCCACATTTTAAAAGAAAGGATCCCAGACAGTTCTCATTTATGAATCTTTTGACTTTGTTTATTAATGTCAAAGCACAGAATGTCTATATCACTTCTAATGATAGAGGATCACAATATCAGGAATACGTAGTTGAAGACCGAGAAGATAATAAGAATATCCCGGAATTGGACCCCAGCCATGTGACAGAGCTAAGAATGTTAGGCCTCTATTAATTTGGTAGGCTGTGCATTTCATTTGTTATCCCGGTGAGCAATTTTGTCTCTGTACTAATTGATTTTCAGTATTACTTTTCTTGTTCACTAGTCCTTTCTCACAAATACTTAAGTAATGTGTCACTCTCCTTGTGTGGATATGGAAGTCTGTTTTGAGGGGTTGATCGTGGGTACATGGCATACTAAGGGCCCTGACCTTCTGTTCCTATCCTCTGGCCCAATAGTTGTCTAGTTGAGATGTAGTTATAAACATGCAATGCAAAATGTGTTTGAATGGAAAACACGGTGGCAATAAATTAGTATGTATCCAGGTGAGCTGTTTATGAAGCAAGCCTTAAGGCACTTGTTGCATGAGCCATTAATCTTTGAATTGCACGCACCCAGGCTCAGTATCTTTGTATCATTTGAGACAGCTGACACTTCTTAATGCTATTTTTTGCGATGGATAGTGATATCATGGGTAGTGATAGCACATAGTGTACATAATTTAGTCCTTGTTGTTACTTTTCAAAAAAAAAAAAAAAAGCTGTGGTTGCAGTCAGTCTCATAAATTTCTGTCCTATTTGCTTCAGGGTTTTGGTTCATGATTATGGCTGGTGGCATTCTTGATATAAGAATTCAAAACCTTAGCAACCATTGATCCGGAAGTTGAGACAAGTTGGGCTGGCTATTTATGTGAAACTGAGCTATGTGCATTAGCCTTTCCTTCGACTTGCAAGGCCTTGGAAAGTTAGTTTGTCCTTTGAATACCTTCATCTGTGTAAGTGTTTGTGCAATAGTCATTGGCTTCATTGGGATATATTTGTTATACCTTTCTGTTTTTTGTACAGATGATAAGAGAAATATGCGCAAATGATTTTTTCTTTTTCATGTTTTTCATAGTTTCAAAATGGCTAAGTTCTTGATATTACCGAAAATAGGTGTCTCTACATACATATATATATATATATACATATATACATATACATATATATACACACACACACACATCAAAACTTTCATTTGTAACCTTTGATAGATTTTTATTAACAAGGATCATAAGTTATATTATACTTTATTTATATTTATTTAAATGATTATATATAAGTACGTTATGTTTGGAACATTGTATGCAACAAATGTAGGTTTAAAATAATGTCACTTTTTTTTATATATATACTAATTAATATTAATTAAAAGAGCCCCGTGCTATACAACGAGTCTTGAGAATTTTATAAACACTTGATATTAAAATTTGTGAATCAATACTAACAATTGTGAATGTTGTCATTAATATAATTTTTCCGATTTATATTGGACATGAGTACAAATAATATTTATTATAAAATGTACAAAAATTGATACAAAATGTATAAAAATTATTTTGCATTCATTAACGAGCATGATGTTATTTGATAAACAGGCAGCACTTGATTATTGTGAATTGATGCTAACAATTGTGAATGTTGTCATTTGTTAGTCGTATTATTGATCTTAAGTTTTGAAATAATAAAATCAAATAATCAAAATTTCTTAATTGAGTCTTTAAACAAGTATGAAAACCCCTTGACATCTTAAGTTGAAATAGTTAAATTTTCTTGCAAGAAAATGGCTTTGAACACTTTAAATTCTAAGTTTTATGCAGTAAGTATTGATACCATTGAATAAAGTATTAATAAATTTTTGAAAATATTGATACTATTAAATGAAGTATCGATAGATTTGAAAAAAAAGCAAAGCAAAATTCTTAAGTTTGAGCTTCATCTATCGATACCAAGCTTGGTAGGTATCAATATATTTGAAACAAACAGTAGAATTCCTATGTTTGGGCTTAAGGTATCGATGCCAAGTATGGTAGTTATAGATACATTTGAAACAAAAATCAAAATTCTTAGTTTGGGTTGTATGTATTGATACCTTCATACGAAATTTGAAAATATGTAACAAATTGTTACCTTAGGTGCAATTTCCAAGCAACCAACTACTAGTTTTTACATAAAATGCAGTGCAGAGGCCCCCAAAAGTTTTCCTACTATAAATTGAAAGATCCTACCACATTTATAAAGAAAGAAGACTTTGAAAACTATTTATTTTTTTAGTAGATTTGAAACTCTTTCTTTCTAAGATGATTTAGTTAAGGTCAAACTTCTATAAAAATTATTTGTCATTTTCTCTCTCCATTATTTAAAATTTACTTAGTGAAACTCATTCTTAATTCTTAAAAAGAATTTGTCAGTCATTTTACCTCTTTTGGAACTGCCATTGTTCTTGAGTTGTGAAACTCCCATTTCAATTTAAGGATAAGAATGTAACTTAACTTGGTAAGCACTAGTTTAAAAATGTTTTCTAAACAAATTTTTGAATGTTCAATGCTTAGAAAAGGTGTATTTTGTAAATTAATAAGCTTATTTAAACTATAGGTTAAAGAGAGAGTCAACTGGATATGTTTTCGGATTGAAAATCATAATTTGTACTAGAAGTATCATACTTTTGAATGAGGTATTGATACTTGAAACCCAGAACGATTTCTTGATAAATACACGTCGATAATAGTAATTTATTAATATTTTAAAAAATTATTTAAAAATAAATATTTTAAATTAAAAATTAAAAATTATAATAAATGGTATTTTTGTTATTTACTATTTATTCTTTAACTATTCTTAGAACTATTTCTATCAACCAAACATTAAAATAATTCATAATTGTATTTATATCTTATTCTATTCGCATAAATTAAACTACATAATAGTTATTTATCTCTTATTGTATTCCTATGGAATGGTTATTCCATTCTCACTCTATTCCATTTTGCAATCCAAACACATGCTTAGAGTTTGACAATCACCATTCCATTCTCACTCGATTCCATTTTGCAATCCAAACACACTCTTAGAGTTTGATAATAAAAAAACATCATTTATAAGTTATCCTACCTTATTTCTAATTAAATTAAAATAATTTAGGGATAAAATCAAAGAGATTAAATTCTTGTGAAATCTCTCATTTAGCAGTATCAATAAAGTACTCCACCAAGCCATTTGACATACTCTTACAAGTCTAAGAAATAAGATCTGAACAACAAAGTCTCCAATGTTTAAGAGGTAAAATCCAAAAACTCCACTTCATGGACTTTAAAAGGACACTTTAGGTCTTTTTTGTTTTAAAATGATGCACTTTGGGTCCTTTTATTTTAAAATGATGCTTTTAACCTTTTGTTTTGTTAACACTGTTAGCTAATCGTTAAAAAAATTTAAGATCCAATCTCATACAAAAATTTAAGAACGCAAATACCCTTATAACATATTTTTTTTTCAATTTAGATATAATTTCTTTAAAAAAAGTTGTTCATTGCTCTCCCAAAAATCTTGATTAAAAAAAATATTAAAAGAAACCTTGATTAAAAAAATTAAAAGAATTTTGATTTGATTTGAAGGCCCTGGAACTTTGAAAATGCATGATAACAAGATTTTGAACTAAACCCAATAACCAAATCATCGAAAAAACACAAATCAAGTCATAGTTAAAAATAGGATTTTGAACAAAAAAAATAAAAAATTACAAAAAATAAAAGACCTTAGCGGATCTAGTCTCTATGTGATCAATGTTAGTGAATCTTCTCCTCTTCAAATGGTAATGGTCATGAAACATCACCAATTTCTATGTATTTCCCTTTTCCTTTCAAATCAAAATTCCTTTAATTAAAAGAGGTAAAGTTGTGAGAAAAAGAAAAAGGAAACAAAGCAAAGAGAAAAGAGAATAATCTTCAAAGAAAAAAGAAATTGGAAGTATGAATTTTGATTATTACAAGATTTTCAGGTTGACCGAAATGCAAAAGATGAAGATTTGAAGAAAGCTTATGAAAATTTTTGTAGATTTTTTATTAAGATTTTTGGAGAGAAGAGATGAGTTCGTAAGGAGGGTACTTGTGTTTAAAAGGTTTATGTAATATTAAGTTATATTTTTTTTAATTATTGATTAACATGATTAATCGTTGTCAAAAATATCATTTTAAAACAAAAAGGGTCAAAATGTCTTTTAAAGTGATTAATAGGAAGTTTTTATATTTTACCCAAAGTTTAAGAACGTCCAAAAACACATTAGAGTTCTAGCATACAAGTTCAAGAGAAAGATGTGAAAGAAGGAATTCTCCAAAATTTTAAAACACAAGTTAGAAGAAGATTTTGAAGATTCAAAGTTTTTCCAAAATCTCTAATTTGAAGCTACTTGAAGAAATTTTGAAACACATCGTTATTAGGCTTTAAGAATTTTCAAAAAGTTGCTTTTCGATCTTGTTTTAGTCTAAAGAATGAGATCAATTGTAATTGTTCAAGATCAAGTTTTCAAGACCCTTGAAGCGAATTTAGTGAAGAAAACTATTATGAGATTATTTTTTATTTTAAAAAATTCTTAGAAATTGTAATTTCTCATCTAATAAATTAGATTGTTATATATCTCCAAATTTCTCAATCTTGTTTTTGACTCGAAATTTGTGTGTGCATTATTATCATCCTTATTGAAGGAGTACCTAAGCTCATTGTTGGATGCCTTATTGATGTTTAAGTAAATTTTAAAATTGAACTATAGAAGGGGTGGAGAGAAGAATTTTGGCAACATGTTCATGATTTTGTTGTTGTAATTTGGTGGTATGCATCCTGCACACAAAGGTTAACAAATTATTGTTGATTTTGCACACATAAGTATATGTATCGAACAAGTAATATAGTGATGAAGTAGAGTATTGTTCCTATAGAGATTTGTTTCAAAAGTTTCACTAATTACTAAAATTATAAAACAAATTAATCTTATTTAATTAATCCAAAAATTAAAGAAAAACTAATTGGAAACAATTAAAAATCAATACTAA